CCGGGGGAGCCGTGGGCGGGGGGAGGGGGCCGGGCCGGGCCTGCAGCCCCCGCCCGGCCGCACAGCCGCTCGGCACGGAGCCTGGCTTATTCAATGTAACGTTTAATTACAGCCCGCGCGGCGAACACCAGGAACGTCAGATGTGCGCCGCACCCCGCCGAGCCTCCTGGAAGCCACGGGAGGCGGGCGGCTCCATATGCCGCTGCCGGGTGCGGTGCGTGTGCATGTGCGGGGTCTGGGCCTGTCTCCGTGTGCGCGTGTCTGAGGGGCCGTCTGTGTGCAGCTGCCTGGTGCATGCTGTGTGTGTGTGTGCGCATGTATAGCTCTGTTGTCTGTGTGTGTACACGTATAGCTCTATTTTAGAAAAAAATATATATATTATTGACTTTTTTTTACAGAGAAGAAGAGAGAGGGATAGAGAGTTAGACACATCGATGAGAGAGAATCATTGACCAGCTGTCTCCTGCACCTCCTACTGGGGATGTGCCTTCAACCAAGGTACATGCCCTTGACAGGAATAGAACCTGGGACCCTTCAGTCTGCAGGCCGACGCTCTATCCACTGAGCCACACCGGTTTCGGCCATGTATAGCTCAATTGTCTGTCTGTCTGTCTGTGTGTACATGTATAGCTCTGTTGTCTGTATGATGGCCTGAGTTTATGTATTTTTTGGTTTTTGTTTTTAATATTTATTGACTTTTTTACAGAGAGGAAGGGAGAGGGATAGAGAGTCAGAAACATTGATGAGAGAGAAACACCAATCAGTTGCCTCCTGCACACCCCCCCATTGGGGATGTGCCCGCAACCAAGGTCCATGCCCTTGACCGAAATCGAACCTGGGACCCTTCAGTCTGCAGGCTGACGCTCCATCCACTGAGCCACCCCGGTTAGGGCCTAAGCTTATGTTTGAAAAATAAAATAACCCAACTGCAGAACTAGTCGTAATAATAACGGAACAGCTGTGTGCTCAGCGCTTTCACCCACTCAGTCCACAAACACCTCCGGGGCCTCTGCCATGCCCTGGCACTGCCCTGGGTGCTGGGGAGATGGCGGAGAGGAAGCTTTGCCCGCTGGCAGCAGCCCTCTCCAGGGCTCCCACGCCATCCCCGGAGCAGGCCAGGACTCCACCCAGGGCTGGGCGGCTGGACGGGAGACTTACCACAGTCCGGCAGCCCCCATGCTCTGCCTCTGAGCCCCCCACTCCAGGCGGACCACATGGGCCTACCAACCCCACCCCACCCCACCCCAATCCACCCGCCCACCCAAAGGGGAAGAGCCCCAGGTCTCTGGGCGGGGAGCAGGATGTTCTGGGACCTGGAGCCCGCCTCCCGGGAACCCGCAGGGTGGGGAGGTAGGAGTGGAGTGACAGGCAGGCACCCACAGGTCCCGTGCCTCTGAAGGGCGCCCCAGGGCAGGGGGGGGCTACCTGCTGGAGACCCCTCTCTGGGGCTCCCCAGAAGTCCCAGGCCCTCGTCCTGGGAGCCAGCCCTCTCCTCCCTGTGACCTTGACCCAGGCTGGGCTGGCCTCCCTCAGCACCCTCTCCCAAGGTCAGAGGGAGGGCGGGCGGGCGTGGCTGTCAGGCAGGGCCTTTGCAGGGACCTGTTTCCAGTTCTTCCTGAGTTGGGGGCGGGCAGGGCCAGGGCCGGTAGGTGCGGGGGCTTGGCGCTAAACCGGAGCGGCCGGGGCAGGTGTAAATTATGCAAAAGCTATTTCCGGAAACTTCTCAGATTTCTCCAGAGAGAGAAATTAATTTGCCTGTTTGGGCAAATAACACCCCCCCACACTTTCCTTTTTTTTCTTCCTGCTTAAGGTCATTTTGTTGAAATAAAATTGATTAACGTTCTCCTTAAAGTTTAAGTAGAAACTGCTCAAACATATTTTTATGCACAGGAAGCACGGTTTGCGAGGGCCCTTCCAGTAATTAATAACCACAAATATGTTATCCCGGCCGCTCGGCACAGCTGGCACCGGGGGGCGGGGCGCCTGGGCGGGGCCGGTGCAGAGCCGGGCCAATCAGAGCACGGGGGAGGGTTAGATGGTGGCCTCTGCAAACTGGGGTCCCAGATGGACCTGCTGGGCCCAGCTCAGCGTGGCCAGGAGGTCTCCCCAGGCAGAGGCACACCCCGGGGGGCTCACACCTCGAGCCAACCCCAGGGAAGAGGGTGGCTCTCCATGGCGGCCAGAACTCCCACCCGGCCCGGCCTGCCCGGCTTGCCTGCGCGGCTCAGGGCTGGAGCTTTGACCTATGAGCCAGGAGGTCAAGGTCAATTCCCGGTCAGGGCCCAGGCCCGGGGTTGCAATGCGGGCTCCATCCCCAGGGTGGGGCGTGCAGGAGGCAGCGGTCTACGAGTCTCTCTCCTCCTTGATGTTTCTCTCTCTCCCTCCCTCTCCCTGCCTCTCTGAAATCAATACAAAGTTATTTTTTTAAGATATATTTTATTGATTTTTTTTTACAGAGAGGAAGGGAGAGGGATAGAGAGGTAGAAACATCAATGAGAGTGAAACATGGATCAGCTGCCTCCTGCACACCTCCCACCAGGGATGTGCCTGCAACCAAGGTACATACCCTTGACCGGAATCGAACCTGGGACCCCTCAGTCCGCAGGCCGACGCTCTATCCACTGAGTCACACCGGTTTTGGCCAGTTATTTTTAGAAAACCCTTAGCCACCTGCTTCTGGAGCCCTAGGCAGGTGCCCAGTGGCAGGGGCCTGAGGCCTCGGGGTCAGCCTGGGCAGCAACTCCCCTCGCAGAGCCCCTGGATGCTGACAATTCACACACGCCAAAGCCAGTGACCTTGAACCCTTGGCTGCCCGTCACCTCGCCCACCCTCCACGGCTGCATCCTGCTCCTGCATCCAGACACGAGGGCCTGGCTCCATCACCGCCCCCTCCCCCGGCTGGAAGGAGGGTGGGGGCCTGGGTGCGTGCTGTCCCTTTAACGGCCAACGTGCTACCAGGCCCTCAGACCTGTGAGCCCCCCATGCCTGTCCCAGGCCCCGGGACTGAGCGGGGAGCTGCCTCCTCCCAGCTCCAAACCGTCCGGCTGGAGGTGGGCCGGCCCCAGAGCACAGGTTTATCACAGGTCTATCGTTCTCCTGCACCCGCCCCGCCCCACGGGGGCAGGTCCAGCCCGGGAAGGGCCTCGGGGTCCCCCTCCCAGGCCCCTCCCTGCAAGCAGGCTCTCCGCAGAGGGGGTGCGGGGCAGAGCCAGTGGAGGGGGTGCGGGGCAGAGCCAGCCGGAGAACAATGGGCCGGGCGAGGGGAGCCGGTGGGGTTCCGGGCTGCCTCGCCATCACCATAAACCTCATTACCTCGCGGTCCCCCAGGCTGCCTCCCTCCTCACCCACGGCCTCCGCCGCTCGGCTGCCGGCTCCCACATGGCGAGAAAAGCTCTTAGGCCCCCCGCTGCACTTTTAATGGGGGCAGTGACTAATTTAGCCCTCCGCCGCCGACCGGCAAATCGCATCTTCCCGTGGGCGCTGGCTGGGTCTCACCTGGGCTCCGTGGGGCTGGGGATGAGATCCGGGCGGTGGGGGGCCCAGAGCCGGGGATGGGGAGCCTGGGATGCCCAGGCCCTGCCCCCCGTCTCGGCTCTGGGGGCTCCGGGGGCCGCCAGGCCTGGCTGTGGATGCAGGACAGCTGGCCCAGCCCCCGGCCACATGTGGGGGGACACCGATGCCCGTCCTGAGGCCCTTCCCTAACCCGGCCACGTCTCCGGGGTCTAAAAGGGGGGTTTCACGGCCTCGGGCTTCCAGGAGGCGGGAGCTCTGAGTTGCAAGGGCAGCAGCTCGGTTGAGGAGTCTGCCCTGTGACTGGCAGGTGTGGATGCCTCTGGGGGAGCGGGGTGCCCCACCTGAGCCAAGGCAAGGCCCCAGGAGGCAGAGGGGCCCTCTCTCCCCCCTCCCGGCAGCCCCGGATCCGGGGTGACTGCTCCCGATTCCACGCCCGTGGCTCCGGATTGCATTATAATTAGGCGCAATCTGCCTGCCTGCTCCGTTCGGGCTCTGCGGAGGGCAATAACCAGCCTTCCTGCCTCCTGTGCGAAGTTAACGAGGAAGGGCTTCCCCCCCCCCCCGGGCTGGCTCCGAACCCCGGCCCTGATCGGCGGCTCCGCCGAGCCCCGCATGACGGGCAGGTGTGGGGGGGGCCGGGGAGAGGCCCAGGTGCCGGGCGGGTCCCGGGGCGCAGGCACGGCCAGGGCAAGGGGAGGCAGGCCCGGCGGGGAGCGTGCAGAGTGGCAGGAGACACCCATTCTGGGGGCTGGCAAAGGCGGGTGGCCCCCGGGGAGCAGGGACCCCTGAGCCTGTTACCCTCAGCGCCCCCACCTGCCCCACTGGCGTCCTGGACCCGCCACGCGTCTCTGCACCAGCACATCCCACCGGTGGGTCTCTGTGAGGGAGGGAGCCTGCGGCCCCGACCTGGAACCCGGCTCCTGCCACCGCCCCTGCCTGGCCAGGGAAGGGTTAACCACGTGGATGACTGCACCCGCCCCCGGGACAGCCATCCCACCGGGAACCACGTGGCACCAGGCGGCTGCTGTGGAGAACCGCCCAGTCCCCCCCGGGGCCTCCGTCTCCCCAGCCCTCAAAGCGGGGAGCAGAGCTCATTTTGGGGGGGCTTCCCACTCTGCAGCTCCCGCCAGCTCTTCCGACTGTGAGTGGGCACCAGGCGATGGCCCTCCTCGTCCGAGGGAAGCTGGGCCTCTTGTGTGCTGGTCCTCGAGTTCCTGTGAGTGGGCACCAGGCGATGGCCCTCCTCGTCCGGGGGAAGCTGGGCCTCTTGTGTGCTGCTCCTGGCACGTGGGGTCCCACAGGAACTGGAGGACGCGCCCCACGGGCGACCCCCTCCTCCCCCAGCAAGGGCCCCAGGCTGGGAGGCGAGAACCAGGCAGCGGGTTTCCCTTTTATTAAACCGCCGGGCGGCCCGTTCCGGAGCAGGCCCTCTGGGGCCCGGCGCCGCCGGTCACACAGCCGCAATCACTGTCCGGCAAACTGGCAGATCCAATCAAGGCATTCGTCTTTAATTAAAAAAAGGGAAGGGAGGTATTCCGACAATCGCCAAGCAATCACGTCACAATGCACAATTATCTAGAACTGCAATTAAAAGGCGTTAACCGAAGGGGGGAGGGGAGAGGGAAGGTGTAGAAAAACAGAAAGAAAGAAAAAGAAGCCGAGGAGAGAGAGAGAGAGAGAGGAGGGGGGGGAAAAAAAAAAAAAAAAAGGACCGCACTAATTCTTCCTCTTTAAAAACTATCCGTATAATACATGGGGGAACAAAGGACAATGGGCTCAAAAAAGCGGGGTCCCCTAACTCTAGACACGGAGTCTAAAAAGCGCGCTAGCTGGAGCCGGGCAGTAAAAAATACTGAGCATGGAATACTTTTAATCTCCGCCATTAATATTCATTTCCAGCTGCTTATAATAGCAGCGCCTCGTGGCCAAATCATTAGAGTTTTACATCTGGGTTGCAAATGACACTTTGATTGGATGTAATGTTCCGGCGGCCCTCCGCCAGGCGTCCGCGGCGGGCCCTCCGCCGGGCGGCGTCCCGCGGCGCGCCCTCACTGCGCGTGCTGGCTCATCGTGTGGTTCTGGGGGCAGAGAGAGGAGACACGCATGAGGGCAGAGGAAGGAGCCGCCGGCCTCCGCCGCCCCCGCCCCCGCCCCCGCCTCCCCACTCCGCGCGCAGGCCGAGCGATGACTCCGGAACAGAATGCAGCGGGGGGGGGGGGGGGGGGGGGGGAGAGGGCACCGGGGACGCAGCTGCCAGGACGCCATCGTGGGGACGTGGGGCGGCCTGGGGATCGGTGCCCGGCGCTGCCACCCTGGGCTCCGATGAATGGATTTTGTTTTTGCCGTTCGGTCTCACCGTGGGGATGGCTCTAGGAGGGGAACGGGGCGTGCCGGGGAGGGAGCAGGAAGGACCGGCGTCCCGTCGGCTCTAACGAGGAGGAGGAGGAGGAGGAAGTCCTGTCTGATCCCGGCAAGCTGCCCCCAGGTCCTCTCTCTCTCCGTCCAGCCCAGGAGCGGCTCTGAGCCCAGCGCAGGGACAGGCACATGTGCCAAGCAGCTCTCCGGCCGCCCGGTGCCTGCAGCCCCGGCAGCGAGAGTCGCCCAGCAGAGAGGGCGAGGAGGGAGGGTGCCTGCCGCTCGGTCACATGTGCTGACTCCGGTCTGAAGAACAGTGTGTAGCGTGGCCAAATCTGCTGGCACCCGGGGCCCAGGTGACCCTCTTGCCACAGCCCAGCCCGCAGCCCAGCTGAGCCGGCCAGCAGTGCGGCCGGTCTTCACAGGAGCCAGTGGTCGGGGCAGGCGCTGGGGTTTGGCCTCTAAGGGCCTACAGGTTTTTTTTTTGTTTGTTCCTTCCCCGGGGTCTATGCTCCAAATCTAGACCCATTGCACCAGAGCCTCGTGACGCCCAGAGAAAGGAAGCAAATCTCCCTGCGGCTGAGGGGCCTGTGTGGGGGCAGCACAGACACCCCAATCCAGGCCACGTCTCAGGCAGGGATGCTCCTGCCTCCCCAGACCCAGGAGCTCCCGGCCTGCGGTTCTGCCGACGATCACCAGGGGGCAGACGTGACCCTGCGTCGCTCCTGGGCTCCGGGTCTGGGCAGGGAGGGCTCTGGGTCTGGGCAGGGAGGGCCCCAGGACAATGCCCGGTGCCTGAGGCTTTGCTGGGAGGCCTGAGGACACCCCTACATGGGCCCGGGCCCTGGAGCAGCCGCCCCCCACTGCAGGCACCGCTGCCCCTGGCCTCGGCCTCCGTGGTGCTGTCACCACCGCCTCGGCGAGCTCCCAGCCAGGCAGGGGCAGCGTCCGCGCTCAGGCAGGAGATGCGGCTGGCGCAGGGCTCAGGTGCCAGCCTCTGCTGGCCTCCTTCCGCGGGCTCCTGGCACAGGCCACATGACAGCACAGGCGCCCATGCCCAGCGCTGTCACAGGTACGTCCCTCCCATCCTCCTGCAGCCTCACACGGTGGGACGAGGTGCGAGGAGAACAAAGAGGCTCCGACACCGGCTTCAAGGTCACCCTGGCAACGGGACCCCGGAGCGCGAGGGGCTGGGACAGGCAGGCGGACTTCCCACGCCCCCGGGCACCCCGCCCCACGCACGCACACACTCTGCCAGCGTGGCCGGGCGCCTCGGCGGGGGCGGTGGGAACCCCGGGGCTCCAGCGGGGTGTCTGAGACCACAGATGGGCTGCAGCGGTCTCCATGGGAACGCCCCCCTCTCCCCCAAAACCGGCACCTCTCCTCCCACCTGAGCAGGGACACCCAGCAGGTCCCTCAGAAGCCTACCCACCCTTCACCCAGCCACCCTCCACCCAACCCCCCTCTGAGCTTCCAGCATTCGCCCAGCCTGTTCCACCTCCTCTCTCCTCCCTCCGGGTCAGCCGCTGTGGAGGTCACTGCCTTACCACAGGGCAGGCCCCACCCCCAGCCCCGGAGGTCAGGCACTGGGGGCCCACCCCCCACACACCCAGCACCCATCGCGGCAAGCGGGAGGCCTCCGCCCGGCAGTGGGCAGGGACCTCGCTTCCTTTCCGGCCCCACCACCCTCGGTCCAGTGCCTGGCACGCTACGCCCGGCACCACGGCCCAGGAACCACTGCCAACGGCCGTCCACTCCCAGGGCCAAGTGGCCGGGCTCTTCTCTGTTTGCGGGGGCTGGGAGGGGCTCACTCATTCATTCACTCATTCATTCACTGCACACACCTGCCAGGTCACAGCCACCTGCTCACTGCTGGGCATTCGGCAGCAAAATGACTGCCAGCCAGGGCCCCCTCCCCCGAGAACTCCATGTTTCCATGGTGAGGGGTGCCCTGGCCCCTGGCCCTGGCCCCAGGCCCCCTGGCAGAGTAAGGCGGCCGGACAGGGACGCAGCCCCCACACCCAGAGCCTCCCACGCCCGGTCCCCCCCGGAGCCCCCGGCTGCACGGGGACCCACGTCGCCTCCTGCGGGCGCTGGGTTGGGGGAGACACTGTGGCTGACCCCGTGCTCCCACTGCCCCCACAAGCCACCCTGGTGGCTGGCGGCACAGAGGGCCGTTCCCGGGAGCGGGCCGAACCCGGGCGATGTGCCTTCCGGGGAGAGCCGGGCCCCGCCCCCTGCAGGACGCCCGGCTCCTGGGCTCTGCTGCTTGCTCAGCGCCACGGTCAGAGCTGCCGGGGGGCAGAGGGGGCCAGGCCTCCCAGCCGTTCCCAGCTCCCAGGAGGGGGTGGGGTTCACTCCCACACACATGCACACACCTTGCACACACACCCCACACCCCACACCCCACCACCACCACCACCATACCACACACACACACACACACACTACCCACCCCACACACACCCCACACACCACCACCACCACCACCATACCACCCCCCCACACACACACACTACCCACCCCACACACAACCGCACACCCCACACACAGCACACCACACACACACACACACACCCCACACTCCATACACCACCACCACCACCATACCACCCACACACACACACACACACACACACACACACACCCCACACACACATACACACTCCACCCCCCAACACACAACCCCACACCCCACACACAGCACACCACACACACACACACACACTACCCACCCCACACACACCCCACACATAACCCCACACCCCACACACAGCACACCACACACACACACACACACACACATTCACACACCTTGCACACACGCCCCACACTCCACACACACCACCACCACCACACCACCCACACACACACACACACACACACACACACTACCCACCCCACACACAACCGCACACCCCACACACACACACACACACACACACACCCCACACTCCACACACCACCACCACCACCATACCACCCACACACACACACACACACACACACCCCACACACACCCCACACATAACCGCACACCCCACACACAGCACACCACACCCCACACACCACCACCACCACCACCATACCACCCCCCCACACACACACACTACCCACCCCCCACACACCCCACACATAACCGCACACCCCACACACAGCATACCACACACACACACACCACACACTCCACACCCCCACACACACAACCCCACACACACCCCACACACACAACCCCACATCCCACACACAGCACACCCCACAGCACACCACACACACATACACACACACATATACTCACACACCCTACACACACAACCCCACACCCCACACACAGCACCCCCCCATACACAACACGCACACACACACACACAGCATGCACACACCACACACTCTGACGAGAGGACTTCTATGGGGAGATGCTAGGGAAGATGCTGGCCTTCTAGTTGAGTCTCTGAGAACACCTTGCACTGAGTGCATACATGTGCGTGTGTGTGCAGGCATGTGCACACAGAGGTAGCTTCCCTCCGACAGGGAACCTCCCGGATACGGGCACGGAGCGCAGGTACCAATGATGCTCACAGCTAACCTGCACCTGTGGGCCACACGCCATTCTTAACCCTTCACACCGATGAGCTCACTGGGCCTCTGTACTCGGACTCTCCCCATTTCACCAGCGGGAAACCGAGGCACAGAGCGCCGGGCCCCCTCCCTCACCCCCGCCAGTCCCGGCAGCCGGGTGCTCCCTGCGGTCTGCACGGAGCCCAGTCTGCTCTGCACCACAGCGCCGCGCGCCGGCGGCCATGAATGATTCATGAGGCGGAGCCGCTCAGGGTGCGGGCGGTGGCGACAGCCTGGGAGGAGGGCGGCCTGCCCTGCGCTGGGCCCCGGGAGCCACGGGAGGTATCGGAGCTGAGGAGTCACCGGGAGGCCCGGACGGGGGAGAAGCTCGAAAAGCTGTATCTCGAGACCTTCATGCTCCCCATCTCCCTCTGCTCCCTTCCTGGGACCCCCAGCCCCCAACACACGCACACACGCACACACACATGCACACACACGCACACACGCATGCACACACACATACACAGGCACACACACGCACGCACGCACACACATACACAGGCACACACATGCACACATGCACACACTCACACACAGGCACACACACAGACACACACACAGGCACACAGACACACACACAGGCACACACACGCACACGCACACGCACACACACACACTCTCATACACATGCACGCACACGCACATGCACACACGCACACGCACACACTCTCATACACATGCACACACACACATGCACACAGGCACACACTCACACACATACACAGGCACACACACGCATGCGCACGCACACACTCGGCCCCTCCCTGGGGGGAGGGTGCGGGCGCAGGCAGTCGGCTCCCGCTCTGCTGGTCTCACCGGCAGCCCCCGCGGCGAGCACTCATTTCTGGAGGCGTCTGACGGGCGTCCACGGGGCGCGCGAACAGATGGCCTGTCTTGAGGCCCGTATGCTCGCTGGTCTGCGCTCCTCACCAGCAGTGAGCGCACTCGAGAGCAGCCGTCAGCAGCCCAGAATGAATGCTCCGAGCAGCCGAGCCAGCGCACGTCACTAAATGAGAGTGACGGCCCGGGTCCCCTCAGTGCCCGCCTGGTGACGCCAGCGCCCCCGGGGGCCGGGCTGTGAGGTGCGTGCACCCTCTTTCCCTGG